GCCCTAGTGAAAGCTGGGGGCCCTTCCGGGTTGTCGGCGTCATTGTCTGCAGCGTTGTCAGCGGCGATCGGCTCTAGAGCTGAGTCTGGATTACCATACTCTTGCTCATACTCCTGGCGACGGTGTACTTCTTCTTCATGGTGACCGAAGCGACATTGCTCGATACGCCGTCGTGCATCCCGGAGGTTACTGAGGTGCACTCAAGCATCTTGTTCGACCTCCTGGTCGTGCTGGCGATGATGCTCGGCGTGGTGGCCCCCGGCTCCCCCCGGAGAGGTAGTGACTGGTCGGTGAACCGGCTTTGACTGGGGCGGCGATTGGATCTAGGCACAGCTGATCAGCGAATCATGCTCGTGGAACACGAAGGTCTCTGATCCTCTCGGATCTTATTGACTTGACAGTGTGCCGCTTTAAGCATAGCGGCGACCTTGGCGAGCTCGGATGTCTGCGGGAGGCGGGCGAGCTCATTGGCGACCACCGCTAGATTGGCATTTGGAGTCTTGAAGACGTCATGGCCGTCAACGCGGAGAAACTCTTCGTTGAGGTTGCGATGGAGCGGCCTTCCTTGTGAGTCGAATTGGTTGTCATGAGCGGCCTCAGCCATCGCAAGGGCGCGCTCGTTTTCACGGCGTTGCGCGCGGTTGACGTTCCTATTTTCACGAGTGGTGCGTTCCTCATCGGTTTCACCGTTCCGAGGGGGGTTGTCAATGCTGACGTTGAAGATCGCGCCACCCCGGAAAGGCGGGAGAGGGGGTTGCTCGGTGAACGTTTCAGCGAGGGTCTCCGTGGAGCCCTGGGATTCGGAGTCTAGATTTTCCTCCAGGATGGTTTGGAGGGATGCGTCGGGGCCTCGGCTGGCGTGCAGCATGTTGACCGTCGGCGGGAGCTGATCGGTGATCCAGTCGGCTAGAGGATAGACATCCCCCACCTGGTCAGCGAATTTGCCCCTCAGGGCGTCTTGGTATGTAGCGGCGGTGTTGGCGAGCCCGAAGGGCAGGGCCATAACCCTCGGAGTTTGCCGAGTAGCTTCCGATAGATCCGGATCGGAGGATGGTCGGCGCTGCACGAAAGTGTCCAGAGCCGACTCGGCGATGGAGATGCAATCGGCGAGCTTCAGACCGACCCGATCGATGGATTCGATCAGATCGTCATTGTTGATGTGCCTCCTCTGGTAACGAGGAAGCGAGCGGCGAGTCGTTGATGAAGATGACCTCGGAAGTAGTTCCAAGATCGGATCTGCAGTCGCAGGTGCGGGGGTGGTCGGCGCAGAACGGATCTACACCGGCTCGAGGAGCTCTCCGACTCCGTCAGCGTTGATGACCCATGAGATGGATCCGACCGTGAAGATCTGGCTGGGCTGCGGGAGGGACGAAGAGCCTGCAGAAAAAGCTATCTTGTTCGATAAGGAAACAAAGACGCGACACCCTACCGGCGCGCAACCGCCGGCGATGAATATCGCTTGTAGTCCTCCGAGGGGTGCCCCACGAAGATAGATTGATCGGCAGAGGAGCGCGTGATCAAGAACAAGAAGGCAACAGAGACACACGAGTTATACAGGTTCAGGCCGTCAGTATGACGTAATACCTTACTCATGTGGTCTGTTGGTTTATATTAGCTATCGTATGATATGTCGTGATTTTGGAGAGGGTCCCTGCCCGCCTTATATAGTCCGGGGGCAGGGTTACAAGTCGGTTAGATCTGAGAGATAACCGAAAAGTAATAACAGATTACAAGAATCATGAGATCATACGTATCCTAACAGATCTCGCAGTATCTTCAGGATATTCTCCCTATATCTTGCGGGAGGCGCCGAGCAGAATCGTGTCCCGCAAGGCTTCATCTTGTGGGTTAGGCCGCCCCTGGGGGCGCAGCCCATGTGGTCCACCGTGGGTATCCAGAGTCGTACCCCCACAGCGGCACAGGCCTTTGACCGCGCCATGGCAATAGGCACGACAAAAAATGTTAGTTTTGAAAATAAAAACAGATATCGTTAGATTTAGAATTAGTTTAAAAAGTGTTAAAATTAAAAAAAAAAACCCTCCAAGCCGGCGCCTCGAGACGGGGCCCACGGGACGGTAGCAGACGGGGCCAGGAAGGAAGCCGAGCGGAAAGCCGAAGGGGGCGAGCGGGGGCGGGCGGAGGCACGTGCCTGCGGTTCGCGTGGCACCGAAGGGGCGGGCCCCACCTGGTCGCTCTGCTTTGCTAGACGGGGCGGGCGATTAGTCAAACACGTGAGTGGCGGCGGTCCCATCAACGGTCAACACGTCCACGCCAGCTCGTAGGAGGAGAGAGAGCGGAAGGAAAAGGCTCCTCGTCTCCTTGGTTGCGCTGCGACGACAGCGAGAGTAGTCATAGTCATAGAGATAGGGATAGAGATAGATCGCTCTGGCTGGCTGGCGTCTCGTCTCCGGAGAGAAGGGAAGCTTCTGAAGTCGCGACCGCGGAGTCGCAATCCGCGGATGGCAGAAACGAATTGAAGCAGACGGATCCTGGGGAGGGGGAGGGGGAGGGGCTCGAGTCGAGTGCTCGCTCCACGAGGTGGACTGGAACGCATTGTTTTCTCTCCTGCCGCTGAAGCTGAACTTGACCGGATTACAGGCCCGTGCTGCATGCGTGCGTGCCCTTTAGTAGTCTGCAGCGCCAGCTAGCCAGAGAGGGATGCCCATGGATTTCATCGCGAGTTTAATTAGCAGGAGTATATCGGAGCTTGGAGGTCAATTGACAGGGACATGGCTAAGGTACAATAAGAGAGTATAATAAGAGGTTGTAAGTAGGCTATATGCCGATGTGGAGGAGAGATGGAAGGAGAAAGAAGAGAAGCGGACTGTAAGCTTATAGCCATCTTATTCACAAGAACCAAGAAGTTCTGTGAGATAGACAAGTAGGCTGTAGCCGGTTAACTAGTATATGAATGGGCTAATAGATTGGCTGTAAGTTTTCATATAGCCAGCAACCGGCTGTATTATTAGCCTTGCTCTAAGGGATGTAGTTTTCATGCTATGTCTTGCATCATAATAAGTTTGTAAAAGTCTGGCCCACCTTAGGCATGTCTATCATTGAAAGGATAGTCTGGCTAAGTCACCTCGTTTATCACTGAAAAATAGTGTTGTTAAATCTGGGCACGTTAATCACAGAAAAAATAGTCTGGCTATGGCATGTCGTTTATCATTGAAATAGTAGTGTTGTTAAATCTTCAAATACAAAAAAGAAGAAGAAGAATACAAGCATCTGATCAAGATGTGAACTTAAATTCAAATGCAACCTGGCCAACTAAGACTACACTCATTTCGTGTGTTTAAGTTGATAAGGAGTCAATAAAACTTATTTAAGCACACATTTGCTTCAAGGGATTACCTTTATGTAGGTGCTTAATGGTGTACTAACAATATTATTCTACCATTTTACGTATTCATGTTTAATCCTCGAGTATTGTTTTACATACCCCATCGGACCGTGCTTGTATTTCTTGACTTTTGCAATCATAAAATGCTTTTGAGAGGGCGCGGGATTTTTTTTTTTTGGAACAGAAGCTTCATTACTCAAGAGAGTTCGTTACAATCATATTGCAGGCAAGGCTGCAGGAAGCTAGGAGGGGAAGCCCAAACATGAGAATCTAGAGAAGAAAAAGCGAAACGGGCACAAAAATGTGCTACAGAATTTACCTCTCGCCGTACATGATGCATCGCGATGGAAGTTAAAGCTGAAGCTGTCTCCTCAATCTCATTCAAGATTGCTACTATTTCAGACCTTTGTTTGGTTCTGTTCTTCCATAGTGACACCAACTCTTGAGCATCGGTCTCCGCTATGATGTGTTCCATGGTTCCTTCGGGTATCAGCCGCAAGCCATCCCGGAGTGCCTCCGCTTCAGCTATCAGACCTGAGCCCACAGGAGCCAACCACCGAGCCGACGCCGCACGCATGGTCCCGCCGCTGTCTCGGACCACAGCACCGGCTGCGCCTGTACTTCGATCCTACAGGTAAGCACCATCGGAGTTGATCTTCAGCACACCCTGAGCCGGGGGCACCATCTTGTTGTTCGCGTTCCTGAGTTTCCACGGACAAGCATCTGTCGATAAGTGGATGCAAGACTCCAGCGCCCAATTGATCGCCAGGCGTAGATCAATGGGTGCTTTCCCATGGCGTCTGTCATTTCTGCTACACCAAAGTGACCACATACCGCATAGGATTACTCCACGATCAGCTTCCGGGCAGCAGACATTATCTAGGAGGTCGCATGCCCAGGTCTCCGGGTGGAGGCGCGGAAGCTTGACCCATGTTAGCGATTTCAGCCTATCCCAAAAACTGATTGCAAAGGTGCACTGAGTTAGCGCATGGTAAGTGGATTCCTCACCATTCCCGCAGAAGTAGCACGTTCCACAGTTCTAGGAGGGCGCGGGATCGATAAATTAGGTTTCGTAATATCCCCACTCGTCTTTTCCACAGTTCTCAGTTTTGGAGTTTTCATTTTTTTTTCAATTCTCTGTAGCAAGCGCTACTCCTCTATTTCACCTGGCGGTCAACGCGCGCAGCTCCGACGCCCGACCTGGTCGGCCCTCGGGTCAAAGGTGGACAGGGCAGGCGCCGGAACGCAAGGTTCGGTCAGCCTGTTCGGCTGAAGGAAAACGATTCTATACGATCGAAAATTTTTAGCTACAACAGTATTTTTTCTTTTACACAAATCAATCATCGATACTTCCTCATAAACCAATAACGATATGAACCAACCAACCGAATAGACCGCTGCAGGCACATCTGTTGGGCCGAGCCCGACCTCGATTTCCACATCTGTGCCACACGCACGTCTGTGTGCCGTGGCGCCGGCGCTCGCGTGATGTCGGCCCTGACATGCATCCTCCGCATGAATCCAGGGGCGAACATCTGATGCGCGCGATCACGTTCGTGTATTCCGGCTTTCCACGTGCGCGCACGTGCATTCGCCGTATGATCATGGCCTCTTCTCCTTGTTCTAAACCGATTCTTTGTTTTCGTCTATTAATTTGTTAACCCCTGGTCGGGGTGAGCTCGAGGATGCGGCCGGAGAAAGCGCTGACTAGCGCCGCCTTGAACCCGGGAATCCCGGTCAGGGTCACCGCCACGTGCTCCGCGAGGTTCTTCCTCGCAGCCTCCGACGACGGCCCCGTCGTCGCCGCCTCTTGCTTCTGCTTCTGCTGCTGCTGCTGGCGCTGGTGCTGGTGATGCAGCGGCAGTGGCGCCGCCGCCAGTCGTACGACGGCCTCGCCCGCCTCCGGCGCCGGCGCCGCCGTCGACCTCGCGGCCCTGCCTCCGTCGTGCTGCGGCGGCTGGCCGTGGTTGTGCTCGCCCTCGTACGTGGCCACCAGGATGGTGCTGTCGTCCACGCTGCGCTGCACCTTCTTCTTCACCGGGCACGACGGCGCGAAGGAGCACCGGAAGTAGGCGCGCGGGCACGGGTTGTCCTTGGTTACCTTCTGCCCGTACTTCCGCCATTGGTACCCGTCCTTCACCACCTGTTTTGTTTTGTTTAAAGCAGCACGAGTTAATTGACCGTAAATTCGGCGCGAAAACAGCGATGGTTAATTACGGCATCCGATCCGTTACTTACGAGGCTGAGGTCAGAGGGGTCGGCGTAGACGTATCGCCGGGACACCTTGGGCTTGCACTCCTCCCGGACGGCGCGCCGGAAGGCGGCGGCGGTGACTCTGACGGCGGCCGACGTGCACTCCGTCTGCTCGTGGGCCGCGACGGCGGCTGCGAACGACGGCGACGGCGACGACGGCTTGCGGTTGTGGTGGTGTTGGGCGGTGTCGAGGCTGTCGCCGCTCCGGATGCGCTTCCTTGACGGCGAGGCCGCGGAGCCGCCCTCCGACGTGGTGGAGGACCCGCGGTTGGCGGCGGCGGCCACCATGTCGTTGACCTGGCCCTGCAGCTCCGTGTACTTGGCCACCACCGCCCGCAGCATCTCGCTGAGCCGCTTGTTCTCCTCGCCGACGCGCCGGAGCTCCGCCTCCAGCGCCTCCACCTGTAATATAACCAGCAAGTTCCGATCCAGTGGCCAATCAGCAAAACTGCTCACGGCTGTACCAACGTTTGTAATCAAGCGATGGATCGAATGAGTACCTCTCGGTCTTTCTTGACGGCCAAGAAGTTCTCCTGGACCAAGACCTTGGTCGTCTTCGCCGGAACCGTCGGCCTCGCCGTGGGAAGGCCGACGTTGAGGTCGAGGCTCAGGGAAGGCTGCTGCCCGACCCACGGGTCCATGTCCGCCGCCGTCGCCCCCACAAGAATCGTTAGCCCCTCAATCGCGTACGTCAAGAACAGCTCAGAGCTGCGCGCTAGCGGCTGGTACTGGAAGCCAAGGAAGGAGGAGAAGCTGCTGCGCTTGTGCATGGATGAGGGGGGCATGGCCCAGGAAGGCGAATATATAGGCGAGGCAGCTGAGGTGGAGGAGGCACATGTGCGTCAGTGCGTGCTGCAAGTTTGGTGGGAAGGCTGGCTGGCTGGCTGGACTGAGTGGCTGGCTGGGCGGACAGCGACGGCTGGGGGACTTGGGAGACTAAGCATCTTGGGAGGCGTGCTTGTCCTCCGTCGTCGTCGTCGTCGTCTTGGTCGATGTGATCTAGGGGTACGTGGTGCGAGTTTTAATTAGTCGCTTAAATTAAACTAATCTCTTCTTCTGGACTGCAGTGTGGTGGCGGGCGGGCGCCGGGCTGGATCATCAGGCCAGGCCAGGCCAGCGCTTGGAAAAAGGGCGAGGGAAAGGGTCGCCGGGGTCAAACGAAAAACACAAGAAGATTACAGAGGATTAGCTTGGATTTTGGGAGGATTAGCTTGTTGACTCCCGCACCCCTCTTGTTGGCTGGTCTCTGTCTAACCGTATACAGGATGTTTCATTAGCTGGGAACCAGCTCTAATCGATTAACTCCAAAAGGTTTTATGTTTCACTTATTTGGGGCTACATGTGCTGCAACTCGGTGTTACGTACGCAATTAGCCCGGCCGGTTCTTCAGGGTTTGGGTTAGAAAAAGAAAGAAGGGTTGTGTTTAGTTCTTTAAAACTTTTCCAAAAGTGCTACAGTAGCTATCACATCGAATCTTACGATACGTGTATGGAAACATTAAATGTAGATAAAAAAACTAATTGCGCAGTTTGGTTGGAAATCGTGAGACGAACGTTTTGAAGCCTAATTAGTTAATAATTAAACACTAATTACTAAATAAAAACAAAAATACTACAATAACCAAATTTCCAAATTTCACGAAATAAACACAGCCGAGAGACCTCGCGGTGTGATGTTGGCACGAAATATTCATTGGACCTGGACCCGGCACGCCGGCAGAGGGACAGTCGGAGACTCCGGATTGGCGACAAGGACGACACCACTCGGCAGCAGGCTGCTGCAGGCAGGACGGACCTGGCCGGCGCTGGGCCTGCTGGTTACCAAGAACAAGTTGGCTTGATCCCTTCGCGCGGAGGCAGCCAACTACTAGACGGCCGGAGGTCGAGCAGGAGTATGGAATGGGTAAAGTTGGGGAAACCACAGCGACTAGGTAGCACGTGTTGAACTTTTCCTGAAAAAGGGCCACGTTTCTTCAAGTTCAAGATCATATCAATGCTGGCCAGATTACCAAATATATGTACATGTAGCACGTTTCTTGAATTTATTAAGCCTAATTAATCCGTCATTAGCACATGCATATACCGTAGCACCATATTGTCAAATCATATATTATATTTAGGCTTAAAAGATTCATCTCGTAAATTAGTCACAGACTGTATAATTAATTTTTTTAATATATATTTAATATTTCATGTATATGCTCAAACATTTAATGAGATATGACGTAAATTTTTAGATGATGAACTAAACAAAACCTAGGTCGGACGTGTTGATCTTTTCACGAAAAAGGGCCACATTTCTTCAAGTTCAAGATCATATATCAATGCATGCAGGCCCAGATTTTAAGACAAATACTAGTAGGTCTTGAAATTATCCGCAAGAAAAGGTATTAGTATCCGAGTACGGGATCCCATGATCTTGAAAACAGAGGACTGGATTGACCCGAGCAAATTCCGCTTTTGACAAGAGCAAGACGGCATCAAAGGCACGTAATAAAAGGAAGGCACAACTGACTGTCATGTTCTTCTCATCATCCGTGGCGTAGAAGAAACCGTAAAGAAAATTCATCTCACATCGTGCCTATAGCTATACATTAAAAAATCATTTTAAGACGAATTAACATTCGTGGTAGTAGAGTAGTAATCCATGTTTCTCCTACCTTGACCAGACTACTTACTTACAGGCCCGGAGTCAACAGCATCCGGTTCTACTAGTTAATCGCCGCAGTTTACAGCAAGAGAAGCTGTATCGGACTACTGCTGCTGCTGCTCACGTAGTACGTCTGAACTGGACCGCAGCCGCCACATTTGCGATGCCCCGGTTCTGAAATCTGAATCATTGTTTGTTACGGAGAGGTGGTGGTGCATGGACCGAATGAAAACTCTCCGGCACCACCGTCTTCACATTTCCCACATTTGGTATGCCGCCGCAAATTAAAAGTCATCAGGAATCTATCTAGTGATCTGCGTGAGTGTTTTTGGCACGATGCATGCCACCAGTGGCGGATATAGAAAAAATATTTAGGAGGGGTTGAGCCAAAATGAGTTAGACATCTATGATCAATTGCATTGCCTCAACAATGTCTTGATCCTTCCTTTACAAAGTATTTGATGGACTGTATGTGATGCTTAACAATTCTATCATTAAATGCATTATGAACACAAAATCAAACCTCTCCATTTTACCAATTAAACCAAATGCTCCACCATTATTTTCTGGTTTCACAAAGTCTTTCTTTACTATCTCAAGAATGTATATGACCGCTTCCCACATCACCAAAATACGAAGTAAAGTTTTAAGATGTGAACCCCATCTAGTATCTCCAGGCCTTGCTAGGCTACATTCCTGGTTCAAACCTTTTCCAGTGATAATCTCCCCACTCTCCAACTTTTCTAACAACACATCATGATGCTTTGCAAGCAAGGCATCCTTTCTCATACATGATGCGCCGACAGTGTTGACTATTAGAGGAACATAGTTAAAGAAATCTGCAATAGTCGGAGTAGAACTTGCAACAGTAACAACCACTAATTGCAATTGATGGGCAAAACGATGCACATAGATTGCATAAGGATTTTCATCTCGAATCAATTTTTGCACACCATTAAATTCACCTCTCATATTGGAAGCTCCATCATAACCTTGCCCACGAAGCCTAGAGATTGGTAGCTTATGACTGTTAAGCATTTTGACCAGAGCTTCTTTCAATGCAGCAGCTGTACAACTCTCAACATGCTGAAGTCCAAGGAGCCTCTCCATCACCTTCCCTTCATCATTCACAAACCTGCAAACCATATTTTATTTCATGTTAGTACAAGTGTACAAGTAAAAGTTGAGGTAAAAAATAGAGTTGTCATCTACTAACCTCAAAATTACAGCCATATGTTCTTTTATTGATACATCTCGGGGCTCATCAATCAATACAGAGAATTTTTTATCTCCAATCTCATCCATAATCACTGACATGACTTCTTGTGCACAAGCTTTTGTAAGGTCCTTCTGTATATGATGAGATATCATTGTGCAATTTTTTGCACCTTTATCGTATGCATCCTTAATAATCTCAACTTTATCTTTGTACCAATCAACCATTTCTCTATATGTACCCTTGTTGTTGGAAGTAGAGGACTCATCGTGTCCACGAAAAGCATCACCTTGCATTATGAGAAATCTTGCTACATCTAAAGAAGAGTTCAAGCGAATCTCATATCTTTTCTCTTCCTCCTTGCTAATTACATCAATTCTTCTAGCCACATTTGTTCTTTGGTTCATAAAGTCATCACACTTTAGCCTAGCATTATTGTGAGTCTTGCAAGTACCGTGCTGATTAAGATTGTCCTTAGCTTTGTTTCAGTTAGTATAACCATCCTTTGCAAAGACAGAACTACCAAATTTTTCAGGCTTTCCCGGATCAAAGAAAAGATAACAATATAAGCAATAAGCTGCATCCTTCGACTCATTATACTCTAGCCAATCAAACTCACCAAACCAAGTTTGCTGAAATGATCTCCATTGACCATTTTGCCATTTACGAGCAAAGGTAAGATTACGAGGTTGGGTCGGACATCTCAAAGCATATCCCCTAGCCGACGGCCCTGCGCCCCTGCTGGCTGCTACGAGCCTACGATGCGCAGCTGCTGCTACCTCCACCCGTCGGGATCCAGACACCTCCGTCGGCCGTTGGGCAGGAACCAGCCAACCCTAGCTGGAGCCGCCACCGCTCGCCCACTCGCCCACTCGCCGGCCCAGTCGCTCGAGTCGAGTGTGACTCCTCTACTCCCGTGACCGACAGAATGAGAAGAGAAATGAAGGAAAAATGTCGGTCTTCTTGATGGGCTATGAACTGGCTTCATTAGTGGGCCACTGAAAGTGAAACATACACATTCCGGCCCAGGATGCAGACCAACTCCTCCACTTGTCTTCAACCTCTGTCACCAGCGATGGGAACGTCTCCAGCCCCTCCTTCCTAGTGGTTAATGGCTGAAATTTTTATGGAGGGGCTCAAGGGGGGCTCCAATGGCGCGGTCAGGGTAGGGGGGCCTTAAGCCTCGACAGCCCCTAGCAGATCCGCCCTGCATGCCACCGGATAATAGACCTTCTAACGCAACCCAAACCTAAAATGGATCTCCAACACAATACCTATAGCATTTGACAGATTAACTATATGAAAGACCCATTTTAGGTACCGGGACAGGCATAACCTAAATCTGAGTATCCTCTCTCCCGAGGACTAATTTGCAGAAAGAGTTGTCTTTTGGGTCTTGTTGTTGGAGAAGACTAAAAATAACTATTAAACTATTTGCCTATAGCGCTACCAAAAGACGAATGTATCTTTTATTTTGGGTCGCGGTCGTCGAAGAGAGTCTAAGTTTCTATATCGGGGTCTCTGGACGTACTGTTCCACGATCGAGTGGAAAAAACAAGCGGCACAAGCGGCACTAGCTGGGTTATCTAGTCACTTGTTCAATCCCTAGCTAGCTGTAGATGCCCTCCGGGTGAAGCTGTCACGCCCATCACGGAAATGATTCACATTCAGTGCACTTGCATTATTACTAGTCGCCCGACCTAGCTTGCATTGGATCAGTTACTGCTGGTTCTTTGTCAAGCATACAGGTTTCACCAAATAACTAGCAAAAAAAAAAATCTAGACCGTGTTAGATACTTCCTCGGTTCTAAATCGTAAGTCGTACTGGAACTACATATCTAAGAAAAAACAAATCGACTTACAATTTGAAAATGGAGGGAGTAAAATAAAAGATATAACCATTTG